TCTCTGGGAGGAATTTGCGCGACACTTCAGATAGATGAAGATAGTAGTTAGTTCCTGAAGCTGGAAAAATTAGGAAAGTGGTGTGTAGGATGGGGAGGAGGGTCTTATCAGAGGAGGGTAGTATTTCGGATGGATTTATCACAACGCGATGGCAGCCCTAGTTGCAATTCGAACAGGGCCACAGAATGTTGTGCTTGGACCAAGTGGAATCAATAACCACATTTCTAGTGATGACACGTATGTAGGTATGTATGCCAAGAAGCGAACATGCTGCAGTACAAAAGGCAGGCCACTGCCGGCCACTGTACCTATGTTTCATCACTGAAGATGCGGCACCCATGCACTGGAGAAGCCATACTGGCTTGAAAAACGAAACAAAGGGACCGAATTATGATCAACTGCGGCCGTAAAGGAGTGCAGGTCTTGCTTAGAGGGTGAGGGCGTATTTGGCCCGAACGAAGGTTTTTCAGTTGATTTTTTCCTGTTTCAAGCGCGCTCTCCACAACGTTGAGAGACTCCCATGAAGGGGAGAGATTGTATCTGTCTCCCCTCCCTTCCCAGGAGAGTGGCGCCGCAAAGTTTGATGCAACTACTATTGTCGCTTTTTCCCCAGAAATACCGCTCAACGGCAGTTTTTGGGGATGAAGTGGAAAAGCTTTTGGGAAACTGGGAAACAGAGGAAAGTTGGAAAAGTAGATGGAATCAAGGAAAAGTCAGTGAGTCGGTGGGCAGGATGGAGGTAGGGTCGCACCACGAGGAAATTGAGGGTATTCGCAAAAAGAAGTTACCTTTATTGCCTCAAAAAACACCATATTCGGCTCAGCACTTGGGTGGGAAAACCAATTATCCGATCGAAGGCATTTACAATTCCGAATGGAACATCTCTAAGCAATTGATGAACACTGAGGAAGCAACTTTTTCCTCACCTTTTACGTTTCTACGAAAGTCATTAAAAGCGAACTTGGGCAAATGGCGAAGGAATAAACTGAATTCCCAATGAAAGTATTAATTACGGAGAGCTATGCATCCTTGAACGGAAGCTCCAACTTTTTCTGCAAGTTGATTTATAGAAGTAGCTATATAAGCTAACCCCACCAAAAATTATCACGAAAGGGCTGAGTTTGGTGAAGGAAGTTGGCCCATGCTAGAGGAGGGGAATGGAACCTCACGCGTGAGCGGGCCAGCGCGCGCTGTCAGAATAAATGTGCCCAACAATAATGTCTTTCCGAGTAAAAATTAGGACGACGATCACCTACAGTCCTCATCATTACGTACTGTCGTGGCGATGGTTATGTGCGGCTGCGTTCTGCGCGGGGCCAATGTCGTTCTGCTTTTTTTACACAGTTGTTGAAGCGGGCAAATGACATTACTGTATTATATCCTTCCGTATTACTCGTTTTCTACCACTTTTTGTCGCATACGCGTTTCAACAAAAGGCTGAGAACGGCTTCAACAGTGTGCACACTCATACTGGCTGACACGCCCCACCGGTCTGCAATGATGAGGACTGTAGGTACTTCGCGGATCACTGAAATCAGTCTCGAGGGGTGTCAGCTTTCTATGTAGCATTGCGCTTCAGGGTGTTGTGTGGGTGGTGCAGAATGTGGGCCAAAATCACAAGCCGCTTGACACGCATGTGAATTTATTATATCTACTTATTTTCAGGCTGTTAGAAGTATTTCACTGTACCAGCCCCTTCTGAAACCCCAGATTTAGTTCCTCCAGAGAACACGTTTTTTCCCCAGAATTAAAGTGTTTGACATAGCAGAGGACTTTGTGTTTTTAGCCATTGAGTCCACCACGCACTCGATTTCCTTTCAGATTCTTATCCCCATCTACGTCCTCGAAACCTGCGTAGATAGAGTATCCTTCACCGGGAAAGGTGTATAGTATCGCGAATCTTTTCCTCATGGCACTTCATCAGCCCAAACTCTACCCCGCACTCTAGCTCTATTCACTACGGACGATACGACCCCCTCTTTTTCAGCCAGCCGAACCAGAAGCTCACCCCCCCCCTCCCGTGAGGTAACTTGAGCAGCAAATGTGCTTGCACCCTGTGAAGGATTGTGGTGTTGTGCTCAAGTGGACCCCTAGGATGCTCACATAGTGATGTTCAAAACCAACTTCCCAATTAAGAGCTAACAGGTCATACAAACCAGTTCACTCTCGTTAGCGTGAAGGCTCACTATCCCGAATGCAGAGTGTATTTAACTAAGTGTACTACACTAAATGATATTTTGCTTTTTTAAACGTTTCTTCCCCAGCAAAAGGTTCCACATTAGCGCGAGTTCCGCTACCTCCTAACTTATCTGATTGCTCAACCACAGTGCTAGGGGGCTTTTATACTTTGAGCGGCAGCGCTTACACCAAGCGACCGCATTTTTCGTCCCAAGCGCCTCGACGCAGCGGTCCGCAGCGTCAAGTGTACCAAGCGAAAGTATATGGCTGCTATACGTTGGCGTCTGCCAGCGTCTACCAGCGTCCATGAGCAGACTGTTGGTGGAGAGATGGGGCGATAGCAACTGGCTGCTTCCCTCCTATCGCGCTATCCGGACGCTGCTGGTTGCTGGTAGACGCAGACGCTAGACTGACACCTGTACTTCCCTAGCCCTCGAGACGCTGCTGGTCGCTGGTGGACGCTGGCAGACGCTAGATCGATATCTATACTTTCCTAGTCGCTGACGCTGCCGGATGCTCGGAACGCTGGTGGACGCTGCCGCAAGTATGAACGCAGCCTAGACGCTGTGCTCTCTCCGCTTACCAGCCCTATAAAGCGGAGACATACGACCCTCCTCTTGAATCCACAGCGATGACGTTCCTGTTGGAACGGCGATCCCAGGTGACTCTAGAATAATTACAGCTATGACCGCGTATGCTTCACTCTGAATCAAACCAAATCTTTCTCGATTACAAGTACCAAGCAAAACTAATTTGTTGCACAAGTTTATTCACTCCCTCTAACAAGATTTCAGATGGAAAACATAGGAAATGTAGATATGACCAAAAGTAGCCCCACAACTTCACTAGCGGAACTTCCTTACGCTTTAGAACAGGAACGTAAATACAAACACATGAAGGGGAAACTCTTTTACGGAAGCTCAAGTCTTCAAGAAACCGAAAAGCATAAGTAACAGGACAACAATAAAAATACCAACCCCCAGGATTATTGCCTAGGAAAGCCATCTGGACATGATACTATTAATACATCACAGGTTACACCAAAAACGTCAATCAATCCTGGTCGGCTCTGATCATAAAGGACTTTACAGCAGCGCAGTAGTTACATTTATCATTTTTTGACTACCTTGCCAGCCGTTGCAATTAGAGCCAACCACGTGACCGAACTCAAAAGCACAACAGAAAATTTTTGGTGAGAAAAAACAAGCAACAACCATTCGCGGGGCTGAAATAGCCGGTGAAACAACAACAACAAAAACGGGACAATCCCAACCTCACGGAACAATTTTTAAGTTTCCTAGCAGCCAAATTTAAACCACCCAAAAAAAAACAGAATTATTCCAAACCTTATAGCGTCAAAAACTGAAGACAAACATTAAGTTTTGAGAAAAGAAGCAAGGTTCATGATTTAGGTAACCCCCATAGAAGTCGCACCTGGATGCGCCACGACCTCCCAAGTCTCTTCAGCAGCAAAAAAGGCTCAAAACTTGAAAATTAGGCGTTCTCACACAACATAATTTGCCCTTCTCACCGCAGCAGAATGCCTATGCAACAGATATCGATTTTACGCGCAAAGCATAATTTAGAGTATACGGCAAGGGAGGGGGGGGGGGCAAACGAAAAATGGCATGATTCAGCTTAGTAGGAGCATTTTGCTGCTTCCCATCGACCACAATCGAAACCTACCCAAACCTGTAAAGTCCGGTGAAGTTACCAACAGCACGAGTTTCCTTTACACTTGACAAGAGTTTACAGGTTTTTCAAGGTGAAAAGCGTATTTCAACACGCATTAGAAACAGGAGCAAGCGGAACTGCGAAACTGCCCTTCCCCTCCCCTGAGCCGAAGCCCATCAAAAGCAGCCAAACTTCACCACGGGAACCATAAGACTGCTACTGCGAGCTGACCCAATAGCTGAGGACCACGACTACGTAGGACCTTACAGTGTTGCACGCTCTTATGCTTGCTTCATTACATGCAGAACTAACCGGTTACACCGGATGCGGATCGAATCATTGAAAATATGAGAAAAGAAGCATATAAGTACGGATATTAATTCAGTATTTGTACTTAAGGCGTCTAATCTTCAAGAATTCATCCAACGTCTCGTCCGTGACATTCTTTCGCCGTTCCTGCATCTCCATAATTACTCTTGTAACTTCTTCGATGGCCAACTTCTTCAGTTCTCCAGTGAGCATCTCACCAGACGTGTAGTTACTGCTGAAATAAACGTATTTTCCTCCAGAGAGAGACTTTACACTGATTCAAGGACCAACCATACGCTCACGTCCAGGCATGATCCTTACCATGCTGCTAGTGCTATGCCACCCTCTCCGATCAAAAGCGCACGGGAACAAGGCTATAGGGTAGTGATACCACAGGCGCCGTCTTTCCATTCCCACCCGGCCTTCAGCCAATGTGCAGCCGCCTTGCCATCAATTACGCGTTCGCGCCCGCCCCAAAACAAATACTCAACGGTAGAGAGACAACAAGAATTGATGAGAACGACCAGAACAATTAGCGTGTTTGGCACCTATAGTTTAGGCGTAAGCTGCAGTTGCGCAGTGCGGGCCAGAGAAGCGGAGAGGGCTCTTAAGTCACTTGAATAGCTCCAGACACGCTTGCGTGCACATTTGACTGGAAAGTGACATGCCAAAGCGGTTGCAGAGCTGCTATTCCCCTCTTCATGGCAGGAACCAGAGGTGAGTGCACGAATTGTTCTGAGCATACGGTCGGCAACGCTGCGCTCAGCACGCGCCATGCCCCAAAAGGCACTCCTCGGAAGACTTCCGCCTTTCTTCAACAGAGTGTAAATTCCCAGCACATTACCAGAGGAAACAGCAAACAACAACAGTCAGCAGAAAAATCACCAGATATGGCCCCACTTGTCCAGGATTTCTCAGCAGCGATGGCTATGTACCCAACCCCTCAGTTCGATCCTCGAATCACTACAGTGCTATTCACAAAAGAAACCCCGGCTACTCACCTTTCGTATTTCCTCCAAACGATCATCGTCATCCATGAAGAATCGTAGAAATTGGTTAACTGTAACTCGTGTCCACATCACAGTTTCCTCCCAATGCACGATGCTCTTCGATGGACGCTTGCCCACCAGAAAACGCGTACTTATTGATCTAAAACCACTTTCTGAATATTAGTATTTGTTAACTGTTGAACAACATAATGCTATTGAAGAAGTTCACTGTAACGAGGTTTTCCGGTCTCAATATCCAAAACCAAACCTTGTTTTGCATCTGCTTAGGGACGCTCGGTCGCCCCTAAGATAAATGCAAGAATTCGAGGTCACTGGCCTGCCATTTTTCGCTCCTGTTGCACCTGAAGAGCCATTCAAATTGGGAATCTCGCTAAAACTCGCTTTACTTTCGAAGCGCCTCGACGGTACGTACCTGTAAGGCAGGAAGGAACGTCGAATAAATCAGTGAAAGGCTTCGCCGGAATTTCAAGCCGTGCGCCACATCACGTAGTCATCGGAAGTACGGGATCACTATAAGTTATCGATGAATATTTCAGTTAAGTACGTGAACAATTTCTCAGGCGGAAGGTGGTGCTAGGCTGACAAGTGGGTGCTGTTTATCTCTCGCTCGGCGGTACTAGGCTGCAAAATTCCGCCGGGTGCGACTACCCGTCCGAGGCCAACCAAGCCTTCTCACCCACTGCGGGCGCTAATTTGGCACCAGGTTGATTCGTCTGGAAGATAATAAGCATTGACGACGAACATGGACTGGCTTCCATGAGCCCGTACGGCCCACATCACAATTTCAACAGAGCCTCTACGTTTCCGAAATGAAGTAAATGCCCGTGCCGCCATCCATAAAGGATTGATCGACGATCGCGAAGACTTCATTCTTTCATCGAAGACGCCTTACTGAACAACAGGGTGCCGTAAGCTGATTCTGCTACGCTGAACTAAAAACAGAACTCATCCGCCGAATGTCCATTATAGAACCCCATGCCAAAGACGCAGCTAGCGCCACAATTGATGCGCGAAGAAAAAGTGAACGAGTTTCCACTTTTTTGCTATCAGCTCTTTCCTCTCACTCTGCACCATTCGAAATGCCAAGGCGTTTAGTGGCGAAACGCCACTACCAGTTAAGCCTTCAGGCGACGAAGGTAGGAGTGTCTGCGTATTGCAGCCAGGGGAAGGGGACGTTGCTCTCGTTGCCAGCTTGGTCACGGCCTTCCCGATATTTTTGAACCACGGGAGCCTTCAGAAGACGAGTAAATCATATTTCTATAGATTGCGACATTCCTATGCAATGCCCTGCGTGCACAGATCGAAGCCCAGATACGAATGCACAGGATCGAGCGCGGAACACGAACCACATAACCATAGCAGCAGGATAGTCAAACAGATTAGACTGCTAGCCTAAGTCCACCATTACGACAACAGTCTGGGAACGTTAGCACCAAGCCACTCCATGAAGGTGAAACAGTAACAAGGCTGTTCCCGGATATGATATGGATGTCTCAGCCCAATAGTCCTAGGCTATTCTATTTCCATGCCGTCTCCTTTGCTAAACGTATCTCATAACTCGATACGACCCACGCCAACTTAAACTAGGCGGTTGCCCCCTCCGTGACAGGCCTTCCCTTGTACCCATCCTAGACGGTCAACTGTGCATTGCTGGCGTATGCCCCGACAAATGAGAATCGTGGAAACGAGTACTTTTGCAGCAGTAGCGCGAAGCCGTCATTCAACTAGGGAAAGACCAAACCGAGGGGATCTTTCTTTTAATGAATTTTAGAGAAAACGGATAAGGTGGTAAGTGTCAAATTTCATGGGCTGATCCTTAGACTTTGCTTAGTTTTTGCTGCTTATGATTCTGTTGCCGAGCCCCACTTATGGACCACGACTCTCTGCCCCTATAGGAGAGTCGGCTCCTTGATTCGGAGGCCACTGTGAAATGGTACTCCGCCGAAGTCCTTTACATGACCCCACTGTTTGGCTGAGACTATCGCCTGAATTCTATGAAACCAAAAGGCCCTTCACTCTGTACATTTCGCGGCTTAATGAGTGTTCACAGATCTCACCAAAATGAGACTGCTACTTAACGTGAACTACAGAAGAAACTCGCTAAAATGCAAAATACCCCTCCTAAGCCGAAACCGACCTCCTATATTTCGAAGTCATCCCTATATTAAGAGTGCCCGCTCTAATTCCTAATCTATCCACGCGAAATCTAGCAACCTCCCGTCATCAGGAAAACACGCGGGACACACAACACCACACACTCACCACACCCAGTGAGGTTGGCCTGAGTATAATTGAAACGAAATTGCAAACTACTTAAAGGGTTTGTATCTCCTAGGCCTGATCAAATTGCCACAAGGAGATGGAAAAGACATTTTGCCGGAAAAAATGTCCGTTCTATTTACCGAAAATGCTGACGGCAAACGAGGATGCCAAAGCATCTGACGTGCTTTGCCTCAATCGGCAGGGAATGCTGCCCTGCAAGTTATTATAAATCGCGTCTAGTTTTGTTAGAAATCTGCCAGTGCAAACCGCGCATTGGCGACTTGCGGCAAATGCGACAAAAAAAGAGAAATAGAAAAAAGATGCAGGATGAGAAATTACCACAGCCTCAGAACTTACACCTTCCCCATACTATCCTCAGCGTTGTGAATCCGAAAAATGACGCTCCGCTCGCGCTTGATTTCCTGTCACCACCTTCCAGATCTTGCAGATGTTCTCATAGAAAGGTGGGCTGCAATTAAAGATTACTGTAACAAACCCCATGATATTCCCACAACAAAGATGCAAAAAGATCCCAACGAAAAAGAAAAAATAATGACAGGGGAACAGTGAGTCTTACCACATATAGTCGAAATCGTTGAACATGAAACGTTTTCTCGGGATCGAAAAACCAACGCGATGATAGTCCTTTCATATTCTCTCTAGCTATTTTCTTTGACTCATCTACCTTCATGTCTTTCCATAGGAACTTCTCATCATCCGTAATCTGAAGTGGTAGCATTTCACCCAAACACGTTATTTTCACAAGCCAACTACAGTCTTGTGCGCAGCGAATGGGAGCGTGTCAGGCGGATCGGATATGGCGACGCGCCAAATCTATCCTGCCCCAATTAAGCCCGTTCATCGGCGGCCAATCTTACGAACAAGCACTGAAGATAGTGAGTTTCAGATTCTACACTCTTGCGCATTTCCGTCACTAAAGTTTAGAAGTGAACGCCGACGAAAACAAAGTACATTCTGTAGAACTGCATCACAAGGCACTGACCTGGATGATGAGAGGAACATCGAACACATCCTGTAGCCACTTTGAAAACATGAACGGAATAAGGTGGCCAAGGTGCAGACTTCCAGATGATGGACCACGACCAGTGTACAGGAAAAACGGTTTTCCTTGTTCTTTGCGGTCCAGAATCGCAGCAAAATCCCTGAATGATAGCTCTATAACATGATCGAAAGAGCTGCGCTTCATCAGCCCCACAGGTTCCGCCAGGTAGCCAGCTGAGTGTCACCTCACCTGTGAGCAAAGAACATTCCACGTCGCAGCATTGGATGCGGTTCTTGACCAGTAACCTTTCTAAACCGTTCCACCAGATCTTCGCCAAGCTTGCGACAGCCGAACTTGACTGAAAAGGCATCCATATTACAGGCAATTAAATCTATTACACCAATTAATTCTCGAAAACACGGGAAACTGCGGTCAAATCTATTGAAAAATAGAAAGGAAAAGACCAGTTAAGAACCTTACCAATCAACTTGTCGTAGTCCACTCCTGTTATGCTGGATGCCGCAACATCCCATGGTGTAACTAGATCTTCCTTCTCCTCTTCCTTCTGGAAAATTGTATAAAAAAATCACGAATGAATCCAAAATGAGCAATACGCTCTTAGGTAACTCTAAAGAAACGTACCTGATCACCATTGACCTGCATTGATTCCAGCTTCTCTTTCATTTCTGGATCAGCAGACATGACGACGACCCTATACAGAAGACCAAAAAAGACTTATGAACAGAAAGAAAGAACTATACCTCACTATGACAATGATGCTCTATTTCGAAAGTATAGCGTTCAAAACGCATGAAGAAAAACACTGCGAACATTAAATAATCAAATGTTCATTGAAATAGTGAAAAAGTCTTGATTTCAAGAGTTCTCGATCTTCGGGACTGCATGGTCCCACAGCCAGCTTCGTTTCTCGCCAAAGTGAGCGTCGGATCCTGTAAATACGAAACTGAAGAAAACTCTCAAACATTTTATAGTCCAGCTAGAGCATTTCTCATGTCATATGATGAGAAAAAAACCATTTGAATAGTTGCAAAAGCAGCGGGCCCGGGATAAAGTCCAAGTGGAGTGAAAGCAGTATTCACCCCTAACTGCCCCACCCTTCGAAATCTTTGACAGAAATCTGATCAAAAGCTCATGGGGAAGATACTGCCGAGCGTTTGTCTCCACGAGAGGTAATTTGCCCTCTTGAACACTAATATCACGCTCCTTGAAAATGGAGGCGCCTGGCCCGGCTTCTACGCGTTATAGTACCCGCGCTTATACTGCCCATACCACGTAAATTTGAACTGATATTCGTGTTTAGGAGGACCAAAATAGTACTGAAGACAAGTACATCTCACTAATCTGGTGTTTGAATGTGTTGTATTGTCGGCTCGCCTGGTCAAGGCGCCAGGCCTTTTCGAGCTAAGCGGATGCAATATTTGTGTTCAACGGGTCCATATATGTCCAGCTACATCGCAATCTGATAGGTCCTCGGAAAACTTCCGCTCAGAATCCGGCCAAACTTGTGAAGAGTGGAGCCGGAAGGGTGAAAAAAGCCGTAGTAAGCACTGAGGCTCCCAGACTGAGCGAAACTTCCAGCTTGTCCTTTTTATCAAAAACTGGGCGAAGTGTAGACATTAGCGACTTGTAGATGACAGGTCCAACTACAACATGCTTCCTTTTATATTTCGAATTTCAGCATTCAAACCTACAACTTCGTATGTTCAGCTGTCAGCGAACTGCCAGCGATGCTTAAAG